CTCTTGTCCCTGGGATTGGGGAAAACGAGCTGATAAAAGGATCAAGAAAATTCACAGTCTTCATTTTAGGGATATGAAAGGTTAACTGGTGATGTTTACCGTTTCCAGTTAACCAGGGGGGACTGGAGCAGCTCTCTGCCTTCCCTGAGCAGGGGGCTGCTCCAGCCCTGCAGGGCCTGCCACAGATAGGGGCTGCTCCAGGTGTCCGGAGAAGCTCCTGTTTGCAGTGGGCCTGGGAAAGCCACTCCAGCCGGGCTGGGGCAACCCCTGCCCACAGTAGTGTGCTTCTCCAGCCCACCCACAGCGTGGGGGCGGGGGGAAGAAGGAGGAGGGGAAAGGACTGCTCCACACCCTTAATTGGTTAACCAATTACATGGGATTTTACATCCCTACTTCATTTTTCACACTTTACCAGAATGCTAAAGTCTAGTTCTGGAAAAAAAGCATATTCCTCACAATATACACCAAATGTAATTATATCAGAAGATAGGGAAAAAAAGATGTTCTAATAGTCAACAGTAAGTGAGTGTCTGCCTCCATGTCAGCAGCAAACCACTGGGAGTCTCCCCACACGGCCTGTTTAACAATGTTCTGCAGTATCCTGTTTGCCTCTTTTCAATAAGTTCAGAACTCCCAAGATATGTAACTCCTCCTAAAATTATTTTTTGTCAGTATAGGGTAAGTTTTGTTCAATAGATTTCAAACCTCTCTTCTCTTCTTTGCATCCGCAAGTCCTAACCCATAGCAACTACTTTACCATCTGGCATTTCAAATCTCTCACTGCTCTGGGTATTCAGTTTCTATTACTATTCAATGCCAGTTTACTGCCATGTGATTATTTGGACATCTTGCATTTATCATCAAATTAAATGATAACTTGCTGCACTCCTCCTCCCCTCTGGCCACTACAATCGCCAACTATCCTCACACAGGTGTTACGCTCTCCAACCTTCCCCGTCTGACTGCTATGCCCTACCACCAGCCTGCTCCTGCACCCTCCCCCAGGCAGACACTATCCTCAGCCCACTCCTGCACCCTCCCTTCTAGCCAGACTCTTTACCTGAACCCCCTTCCAAACCCCACCTCCCACCCAGATCCTGCACCCCCATCTCTATCCCACTCACTGGCAGAGATGGGGGGAGGGTGCGCACGGGAGGAAGAAGGGAGGAAGCCGTGGATGAAGGCGGAGACTGATGGTGGCAGCATGAGGACACAGATGATGTCCCGCAGGAAAAAATTTTTTATATATAGAGAGAGCTATGTTTAACAAAGAGTTTCTAGGCCCTATATGCTATATGTAATATCTATCATTTAAAACCTTTACATTTAGTAATAGTTATATTCAGCATTTAGACCACTTAATATTTGTAAAAGGTTTTCAAAATGTAACCTGTTGTAAGTATTAATTAGGTAAGCGTTCGCCCCATTTTACAGACTGTCAAACACACATCAAGATGTTGAGCAACTTGCAACATTTATTGTCACAATGTCAGGATTAAATCTTCCAGTCCCAGATTCATTCATCTAACAAAGGTTGTTCTCATTTTTAGTCTCTACTTCTAATATTTCGTTTCCATTCTTTTCATTTTGTGATTATGTAATTTTTTTTTCTTTAAAAAAAAGCCTGTCAAGGGCATTTTGAAAATGTAAATCTATTATGTTCTTAGGTCACTGTTACACTACCATGGAACAACCAAAGAAATTAAACAAGTTAGAAAAGAATTGCTGCAAATTAGACTGTAGATCTTCAGGTCAGGAACAATATATCATCTGCACTGGTAAGTATCTAATGTGTATATTTTTGGGTGCTGTAAAGCGAGTGAATAATGGTAGCAACAGACTCAAACCATATTTAATGTCAAAACTGCTGCCTTTCTTCCAATAAGTGTTTCTCAACTTGACTCAGGCTAAAATGATCAGAAAACACCACCCAGAAGTCCTGAAACCATTGCAGTGAATTTCACCAATTGCACTTACCTGTAAAAAGAAAAAATATCAAAACCATGATCATAGTATACCCAAAATATAAAATGGTACTAGCAGTTCCTGTTATTTGGAGTTTAGAGAAGAAGTAATGAACCGCATAGATAAAAAGATAGACGGCTGTAAAGCTGCTTGTTAAGAACGATCTCCACCACCAATTATAATCCTGAAAGACATGATAAACCATTTTCAGGGAAAAAAATCCAAGGACAAAACTAAAACTGCGCTTTTATTATTTAAAGCAATGCACTATTTACAAGTCTATGAACGATTACATTTTTCTCAGTATATTTCTACACACATGCACTGAGTGCTTAACCTCCTTTTAATTAATTATGCTCTTCCAATAGATATTTCTCTCTCAAAGTGAATTTTAGGAGGGTGCATCATCTATAAATATGAAATTTTGTTATCCACAATCAAGACTGTATTTAGGGACTTCCTGGTAACTGCAGAGACTAGGAAACTACAGTAAATGTCTGTTTAGTCTACCCCACCTCAGGAGAATATGCTGGGGACTAAACTGTTTTTTTGGGGGGGGAGGGGGGGGTTGGTTGGTTTTTTAAATTTTAATATGTTTCAGAATTATGTATTTTCACTAGAAAACTAAGCTTGTATTTACATAGGGTGCTGTGCTAACAAGTAACCCTTAATCTATTGAAACAATTTCACAGATGTGTAGCAGCTCTCACCCAGAAGGATATCAAAGAATCTTGCAAGTTTACATACATATGGTAAAAGTATCCACCACAAAAATGCAGTCACAAGGGGCAACACAATAGTGGGTCACCTGCACAGAACAACTATAGTGTTCAAAAGTGGAAACGAATACAGTGTGGCTGAGGACCAAATCTTCAAAGACTGCAAAAACTGCCAACATACACAACCCTTGATGAGTGTGTGTGTCCTCAAGAACTGAGAAGTGTATATACTATGTTGGGTGGTACAAGAAGCTAAGTACATTTGGTACTGAAATTACAGTATAGTTATTAGCTGCATTAGTCACAACATAGTGGAAACTTCAACTCATGATTTACAGGGAACATCATTCATTCTTTCACTGATAATTTAAATACACATCGTTGAGAATCTGTAGGTTTCAAATTTTTGCAAAAGTCTTAGTGATTCAGATCCAAAACTTTCTTTAGGACACAAGAATTATTTTGTTGTAGTCTGCTAGAAAATATTTAAGTAATCTTTTTCAGTAAGGACAAAATTACTAAAACCACACAGTGTAAAATACCTCATTAGTGGTCATTTTGAAAGCAATATCTCCTCTCCCTTTATATTGATTACTTTGTAATACCATGCCAGATACTAGCAGCATATTTTATGCCCAACAGTTGCCTTAAATCAAGCTGTTCATAAAGTATACTATTATTCCCCTTTATTCAGCTCTGGTGAGGCCACATCTGGAGTATTGTGTCCAGTTCTGGGCCCTCACTATAGAAAGGATGTGGATGATTGGAGAGGGTCCAGCAGAGAGCAACCAAAATGATTAGGGGGCTGGAGCACATGACCTATGAGGAGAGGCTGAGGGATTTGGGTTTGTTTAGTCTGCAGAAGAGAAGCGTGAAGGGGGATTTGACAGCAGCCTTCAACTTCCTGAAGGGAGACACCAAAGAGGATGGAGAAAGTCTGTTCACAGTAGTGACGGATGAATGGCAGAACAAGGAGCAATGGTCTCAAGTTACAGTGGGGGAGGTCTAGGTTGGATATTAGGAAAAACTATTTCACTAGGAGGGTGGTGAAGCACTAGAATGAGTTACCTAGGGAGGTGGTGGAATCTCCATCCCGAGAGTTTAAGTCTCGGCTTGACAAAGCCCTGGCTGGGTTGATTTAGTTGGGATTAGTCCTGCCTTGGGCAGGGGGCTGGACTTGATGACCTCCTGAGGTCTCTTCTAGCTCTACGATTCTATATCACTGCCAGACCAGCTGGAATGCCATTTCCCATTTCTATCTACCATTACTGTACCATTCCCGGGTGTAAAATGAGAATCTTCACTGCAACTAGAGCTAGATGTGCAATGGCAGAAATTGCCTTTTTTGAAAATTTAACTTGTATGTATTATAAACCATAGGCCAATAACATAACCAGGTCAAAGGTACAAACCAGGGGTGTAAAAGAGTAGTCGAACAGTCGGCTACCCGATAAGCCTAAGCTTAATGGGTAGTCAAGCTGACTATTCTCCTTCTCCCCCACTGCCTCTATATCAGTGTTTGGTGTGTGGAGCGGGGGGCAGGAGAGACAGAGGCACCGTCACTGCAGCTCTGCCTTTTAAAGGTAGTAAGAGCTGCCCGGCTCTTCCTACATTTAAAAGGCAGAGCTGCAGCATTCTAGATCCGGTGCGAGCCGGGACTGAAGCAGTTCCCAACTGTGTCGTGGACCTACTCCCGTTGCAATTCTGTAGCTTAAATGTAATAGATGCCAGGCTGCAAGCACACCCGGCTCTTACTACACTTAAACTGCAGAGTTGCAGCAACCTCTTATTGACTAATCGTGTACACAATACAAGTTGTATTGTACACAATTAGTCATTTACTCAATACTTAACATCCTTAGTACAATCAATATACAGAATCCTGACAGTACATTCACGTAGTCCACAGCACCCAGCACTTTGCAGAGGTGGCCCTGCATGGACATTCAACACCCCTTGCAAATTTCACTCTGACATGTCCCAGATAGCTTCATTGTGCTATCATAATATATGCATCAAAATAATATCTATTTAAAAAAATGAGTAGTCCTGTGGCACCTTCAAGACTAATGAAAATAAATGCATAGTATCGTGAGCTTTCATGGGCAAAACCGACTTTTTCAATGAGACGATCTTGAGTGGAAAAACAGATCATCTCATCTGAAGTGGGCTTTGTCCACGAAAGTTCATCACACCATACATATATTTTTGTTAGTCTCTAAGGTGCCATGTTGTGTTTTTAATAGTTGTTTTTAAAGTTAGTCTAACACACCTACCCCTTTGAGATATCAAAATAATATGTTCATTTACCTCGGCACATAGATGGAAATAGCACAGCAAGACTGTAGCCTCAGAACACGTAATAAGAAGAATTATAAATACTAAGAACAGGAAACCAAACATGTAGTACATTTGATGGGACCTAGAACACACACAAAAGAAATGTTTCAAATCAGTGTTTGGTTTTTTTATGTTACATCCCTAAGAAATAAGATATCAGGAAACAGAGCAGGCTTTGACTACGCTATTGAAATACTCCAACAAATTTTCAGCCACTACCTGCCATCCCTCTCACTTCATGAGTAAATACGCTACTTACAGAACTGTATCGTTATAGTAAGGAGTGAGACAAATCAAATCTATAGCATTTGTCATAGCTCAATTCCCCAACCTGCACTTCACATGTAGATATGGGGGCTGGCTAGCAGAATAAACTCTGTAAGAACCTGTCTCTAACTCCCAGAGACAAATTTGTCAGGTCTCAGTGTCCCTGAGACCCAAAAAGAAAGACGGGTGATCGCTGCCGCCACCAAGTGTAACTAAAAATATAAAATAAACCCTTTTCCAGGGAAAGATCACTTGGAATCCCCTCTCTGAGGCAAAACTCTCCCCCCTGCCCCAACCTCCATTTTGCTTGGAGTTGGAAAAACAAACAGAGATAATCTGTAGAGAACAATGGGGCTCTGCTTCCTCCCCAGTAACTTAGGCTCATAGGTTTAATGACACAAAAATCAATCAATACCGGTTAACCAAAACAAAAAGAAAACACTTTTATTATTAAAACAAGATTACTGTTGCAAGCATAGTAAATGACTGGGTGTTAAAAGCCATGGATCGAAATAAACTCAGGGAGAATCCCTGGGATGTAATCCTTAGTTACAAAAGAGAAAAACAATTAACCAGCTCTGACATGATTTCCAAACCCCCAAACAAGGAAAACAATAAAACTTGACAGACTAACTAAACTCTTCCCTACTTCCACGTTTTTATAAAGTCAAGAAGTCTGTTCCTGGGACAGTCCATCTTTCCTGATACTTGGGGGGAAACTGCTCTGATTCAAAACAAAGGGGTGGAAAAAAAACCCTCTCTCGATTTGAAATTCCTTATCTGCATTTCATTGGCTGAATGCCCAAAGTCTGCTCCCTCAGGTGCATCTCCAAAGTTGCTTAACCCTTTCCTCACTCTCCAGGTAAGTCAGACTCTCCTTTGCAGCTCCTATTCATGACAGCATTGTTTTGCAAAACTATTACACAGGCCAGAGAAATAATTCATTTCCATCATCTCTCTCTGAAGGACTGTTTGACTAGAAGAAAGGTACTATCATGGTTTAAAATCTCTCAGAGCCTTCTGAGCTCTTAAACTCTACTGGCTCTTCTTTGCATCTTGTGTGCCATTCTCCAGTTTGACATCTGCCACCTTCATATTGCTGCAATTAGTCTTTCACCCATTTTATTTCACCATGCTATACCTTCTAACAGTTGCTGCTCCACTCCCAGACTTCTATCACTAGACAAATCAGTCCATGGATCATCTAAACACTTGGCCACAGAAAAAGGCACCTTTTACCTCCCAAGTACATAATATCATCTTGTTTACTAGTTGAGGGAGGAAGCACTAAATCTATGTAAAAATTAGAAGGATACAATTACTATAATTTAAATATATTTCATAAAAAGGGTGCACTGGCAAACTCCTTCATGTCTCCCTGAATTTTTCTTCATTCTGCCTGTAAGGTGTTCAGTATTTTCAATTGTATAACTATATAGACACATTGATATTGGCCAGTTTGAAAACCACATGCATTTTTAAAATGTGTCTCATCTTACACTATCATGATCCTGGTTGCGGACTACTACTGAAAGGTTAATAAATACCCAATAGTATATTTTATTCTTTATAGATTTAAAACTTGTAATCTTATTCCTGTAGCATGGGGTGGGCAACAGTTTAATGCTAAATGTCAATTGTTTCTGCACTATGAAGAGCTACAGTGTTTTAGTCTTGCATATATGTATTTAACAAAACAGCATTTTAACCATGTTCCTGAATTTTGTTACAACCCCATGAAATCCAAGGTCTTAGCCTGATTCAGAAACACAACAACTCATAACGGTTGTGTCCTCCTGGCCATGCAAGACCATCACAGGGCTTTAAACATTCTAGGCTCTATCAAATTTTAATGGAATCCTGCAACACATTAAGTACAATTTATACCATGAAAAGCAAAAGTATAGTAAATGTCCGATAATCCGGCACCTTTAGGACCCAGAAGGTGCCGGATTATCAAATATGCCGGACTACTGGGAGAGGGGGGCTATGAGAGGTCTGGGGTGGAGTGGGGGGGATGCGCCCCTTGGCGCTGCAGGACCAACCCGGCAGCACCCCAGCTGCTCTGCCCCAGACTTCCCCAAGTCCGCTGCTGGTCAGTTTCAGCAGCAGCTGAATTGGGAAAGCTGGGGGTACAGCAGCTCCAATTGTCCAGCACTTCCAGGTTCCAGATGGTGCCGGACCATTGGATGCTGGATCACTGGAGTTTTACTGTACAAGGCCCACTATAACAATGCTCTTACATTAGGGCTTCTCTTTTGATCTGCCTGGCTCCAGACAGAATGCAAAATAAATGAATTGTCTTTAAGTTCGATAAGGGCAAGAAAGTTTATTTTTTAAATTGTACACATTGAGTGCTTAGATTCTGGAGCACACCAAAAAGTCTACAGGAAGATTATCAATCCTAGGAGTTTGTGGATTTTTCTGAATCCACTGTTTTTGGTTCTCTGTGTTCATGGTACACATCTGTTTTTGAGGTGACAGCCCAGACAGCCTATCAAGTAAAGATACAATACTCACCAAATGCTATTTAGAATGAAAAAAAGCTGAATAAAAATACAACCAAATGGCAAGATGCCACCCATGATAATACCAGGCAATGGCTTTGTGAAAAACGACTGCTCCGGAATCTGACGAGGAATCTGGTTTGTACGTACTGGGTGTTCAATAGGCTTTGAGAAAAATTAAAACACATACCTTGTTACAATGTCATTACAATTAAGATAGGAAAGTGTTACAGTAATTAGATACTTAAGAGCAGATATTTTAAAAAAATCATTTAGGAACTTGACATGCTTCACTCTCCCATTATATTCATCTATAAACTATGCCATAAGCCACTGAGCTAAGCCACAATTTCTAAAGATTACAAATTAATGCACAAGCCAACTTTAGCATAAACAGTGATTTTTGGACACCCCACTTCAATGGTGACCTAGCAAATTTAAACATGAAGGAGAAAGGGGTGCTTATTTACTTTTTGATGATGGAATTGATTATTTTCTTCTAAACGTGTTAATTTAGAGGACCATAGCACACATATTGCATAGACAGGAAGAATGTCAATAAACTGGTGTTATTAGAACAGAGATGCCAAATGGCCATACAAATATTTTGAAAATCACTTTGTATTCATATTTACCACTCAAAAAGATCAGAACTTGGGAAACAGTTCATTTCAGAATCAAGACCTATACTCATCACAGCCAAATTTTGGTGTTTTGGTGTTGACAGCTAACATACTAACACTTCAAAAATAAATATGTGACATCAGACCAGAAAAGTATACTACACGGCAGATAACACACACTTAATCAAAGTACCCAAAAACTACCTTTTCCTTGAATCCAAAATATGCACCAATGAAGGTTAATGGGACAGAAATTCCAAACCACATTGCCAGGATAGCAACCAGTGTGCCAAAGGGGATTGCAGCCGATGATCCCTTCACCCACAGAATAAGATTCATAATGAAGAAGTCAGCAAAGACAATTCTGAAAAAAAAAAAAAAAAGAAAAAAAAAGGAATTTTCTTACTGGCAGAATGAAATCGAAGAGAATTAAACATTTTAGGTGCTTCATAAAAGTATAGGCTTATGAATAGTCCCTTGTAATCTATTTCATTCTCTATTCATGCAATATTGTTTCACCGCTAATACATAAAAAGCAATAATTATCATTCATTTGTAACAACTGTCTTTAACCCAGCTATCTCCGAGACACTACTGACTTCCTAAGGAAACTACAAAACATCGATAACCTCCCCAATAATACCATCCTTGCCACCATGGATGTAGAAGCTCTATATACCAACATCCCACATGAAGACGGATTACAAGCAATTAGAAACACTATCCCAGAGGACACTACTGCCAACCTGATAGCAGACCTATGTAACTTTGTTCTCACCCACAATTATTTCCAGTTTGAGAACAACTTATACCTCCAGATCAGCGGCACAGCCATGGGTACACGCATGGCCCCACAGTATGCTAACATCTTTATGGCTGACCTAGAACAACGTTTCCTCAACTCCCGTCCCCTTTCACCCCTCCTCTACCTACGGTACATCGATGACATCTTTATGATCTGGACACATGGCCAAGAAACACTGGAGATATTCCACAGAGATTTCAACAACCTACACCCCACCATCAACCTCAGCCTGGACCATTCTACACGAGAGATCCACTTCCTGGACACCACCGTACAAATCAACAATGGAAAATTAGACACCACTCTCTACAGAAAACCCACTGACTCATACAGTTACCTACATGCATCCAGCTCCCATCCAGAACACACCACACGATCCATCGTCTATAGCCAAGCCCTTCGATACAACCGCATCTGCTCTAACCCCACTGACAGAGACCAGAAGCTTCAGGATCTCTACCAAGCATTTATAAACCTCAACTACCCACCCGGAGAAATAAAAAAGCAAATTGAAAGAGCCAGACGAATACCTAGAAACCATCTACTTCAAGACAGACCCAAGAAAACCAACAATAGAACACCACTTGTCATCACCTACAACCCCCAACTTAAACCTGTCCAACACATTATCAATAAACTACAGCCTATATTGGAACAGGATACCATACTCAAAGAGGCTCTGGGAGACAGACCCATAGTCTCCTATAGACAACCACCTAACCTCAAGATGATTCTTACCAACCACCACAGGACATACCACACTAATACCAACCCTGGTACCTTCCCTTGCAACAAACCCCGTTGCCAGCTTTGTCCACATATTCATTCTGCTGATACCATTATTGGACCTAACCAAGTGAGTTATAAGATCAAGAACACATATTCCTGCGCATCCAGAAATATAATCTATGCTATCATGTGCCGAAAGTGTCCGTCTGCTATGTACATTGGACAAACATCTCAGACACTTCGCCAAAGGATTAATGCCCACAAAACAGATATTAGACAAGATCACAAAGAGAAAACAGTTTCTTGCCACTTTAACCAGAAAGGACACTCTCTAAATGACTTAGCCACCTGCATTCTGCTACAAAGACCTTTTACATCTGCACTTGAAAGGGAATCCTCTGAACTGTCATTCATGTTAAAATTCGACACTTACCACCAGGGACTTAACAAGTCTTTGAACTTTCTCACCCATTACCAAGACAGTTTCCCCAATTATCACCTGTAATACCATTAACTCACAAACATCCCACTCTCCCTACCTTTAATATCAGCAATTCACAGACACTTACCTTCCTTCCTCCCCCTTCCCACCCCCCCGCATCCCCCTTCTGTTCTGCAATGTGATTTGTCCTTTTCATATTTGTTCATTTTTTTAAATTGTATCCTTTGGTATATATGGTTGTGACTATTTTCTTCCACTATTTGATCTGAGGAAGTAGGTCTGGCCCACGAAAGCTCATCATCTAATAAACCATCTTGTTAGTCTTTAAAGTGCTACATTGTCCTGCATTTTGCTTTAATCTTTAGGGTCTTTTAGCAGTAAAATTACTTGTTTGGAAGACTTTTAATTGACAAAAGCAAGGTAACATGAAGCGCCACTGTCACAAAAAACGTGACATCGTGTGTTTTAGCAAACACTGTTGACTCTACTGTACTTCACCAGTCCTTTCTTTCCCATCACTGCTCATTGTTTATTAATGTTTTTAAATTGCTCTTGTCTAATGAATGTGTGTTTTCTGCCAAATTCAGTCACTCCTGGCAAAACCCACTGTTCAAGATACCACAAACAACATCAAGGCCACCACAGGCTAATCCTAGAAAGAACTTATTGTTACAACCAAATCTCTCTTCATGTATTGGGTCCCATGACTGATGAGTGAACTAGTCCAATAAAATAGTACAATATTTAATGTTCGGAGATTCACTGTTTCAGAAGGAGCTAAGCTATCCAAGTAAGAGAGTGTTATATTTTCAGTTTAATCAGCAGGATACTTTCTATTTTTTCAAAAATCTGTAGAAAGAAAAACTGAGGTTTGCTAAGCCCTAAAGGCTGGTTTTCTAAGCCTGAAGAAGTCCTCTTTTTGACAGTCTTCTTGTGAAGAATGTTACAAAGGAAACAACTCCCCCATCCCAAAACAACTTCCCCATCCCACTTTTTCCTGTTAGCCCTACCTTTACAAAAATTATTATTATTATTGTTTAGAAATTAACAAAATCCACCATGCTTTCACCCTCTCTCCACCTGCTTTCTAAAAATCCTTTCAATACAGAAAGCTAAAACCCAGAGTAAATTAGTTTGAGTAAAATGATTAAGATTTTAAACAAGTTCCATCCTGTAGTAAAGCAATAAAATGCACTGTGAGGAAACCTCAACAGGAGGCTACATGGATTCCCACCACCCAGGGTACAGGAGAAGCATTACTCTAAGAAAGGGTCATTGCCAAATGAACCACTCATTGGGACTCATTCTGGAAGAATTCTTGAAGCTGAATTTACACTAGTCTCAGAGGAAGATACACATTCCACTGTATTGGACAAAGTCATGGAAAACGAAAGCAGCAGACAAGACATTGCACAAATGGCTCCCAGATACTTCTGGAAGTAGCATCCTATAAATGTGTAATCAAACACATCAAACCCTGCAGTGTGTTTTAGACCTTGCCCATATCAGTAATCAAATCTCTGCTTCTCTTCTTCCAAAGATAAAGGAAAAGTACTTGCATATGAACTCAGTGAATGGAGTATAAAACTGCCTTAGGCTCTTTATGACATTATGTGGTTTCATTAAATAAGCACAACATAATCAAGACATCTGTTCTTATTTTACCAATCCCAATCTTTCTGCTTCCTCTAGGAAGCTGAATGTATTCTGGAGTTTAAATTATCAGCATGATTTTTTTTTCTTCAGATACATTTCCCATTGTACTGTGAAGATCTCTCAATGACAGCAGAAAGACTGACATACATTTTTCTTAGGCATAAGATTTCCACACAGGAATACTACAAAATCAGTTTTTACACAAGACATCAGGTGTCATTCAATCAATTCTAGTTTACTCAAACCAAGCCATGTTTTAGTAATTCTATTTTTTATCTGTCTTCCTGCAAAAATTGAGGCTTTTGCTGCCAACAGATCTTGTTAAATTCCATTCTCCAAAAGGTTATCAAGAAAAGAATCTGAAGCCATATTCAAGATCTCTATTAAATACAAATCAGAAAAATTGCTTCCTCTATTTATTATACCATTATATGCTACACCATTATAACATTTATTTTCCCCACTCCCACACAGCCACCCAGAAAGCTGTACCAAAGATTACCTCTAAAACACAACTTTCTGTCTTTAAGGACCAGTTTAAAAGTAATGTAGTATATATAACTAGAAATCTCAGAAGTAATTTAAATTGTGTGTCAAAGTACATAGACATAAAAACACACACAAAGCCCTAGTTTCCAAATGAAGTGTTCCTAAAGCCAATATAAAAAGCTATGCACATAGAGCATCAAATTGTTTTGTGAACTACAGTATCTAGTCCTGTCTTTAGCAAGATTACTCACCACAGAAGTACACAATTGCTATTTTAAAGTCATTTTGTTTAGAACACCTATGTCCCTATTATGTAGTTTCACCAGAAGAACACTCCAATCTATTCAAGATACAAAAACAAGATAAAATATCTGTACGACATTAGTAAGGAACTAAACTTACAATTTAATATCTAACCGTACTTCCCCTATACTAAGAGTGAATAGCACGACTGTCTTCAATAGGTAAAGATAGGATCCAGTCCTGATTCATACAAGTGCTATAGACAGAACAACCTTTCCAAAAAGCCATCATTATAAACCATGTATTCACAATGAAATATAGTCCCTACTGATGTTAACACGAGTATCCAGAAAATATTAAATGCTGTAGTCAAACAGCTGTTGTATTGCATAAGATTTACACTAGCAACAACAGTATTCCAGGTCAGAGATTCAAACTTTTCCATGCCATGACCTCGTGTTACACATCATCATGTTTTAGGGCCACCTGCGTAGTGTTTGGACCATCCTCCCTCTTACTTATCAAGAAAGGGAGGGTGGTTATGACCACTGGATTCAAAAAGCCACATTCTAGATTGTTATGCAATTTGCCAACTTTCCAAATGCAAGCTGTGATTTACAAACTTTTCTTCCCAATCTAAGATGCTCTAGAATAAAGCAACAAAGACAGTGGCACAACCCTTGAAAGAATACACTGTTAAGATATTAGTGCTCTGCTTTATTTGTGGTAATTGATTTATGTATAAGAATTAGGGGGCTGCATTCTATGTTCACTACACTCGCCTACCCCCCTTTCTCTGGCTGCTTTCGCTTCACTGAGAGAGTCTGTTGAAGCTGATGACATGATGACATCATTCTGTTGCTTGGCAGGAACATTCTGTCATCCAGCAGAAATTTTTTTTTATATATATATAGAGAGAGGTAACAATTTCATAAGAGTAAGGAACAAAAAAAAAAAGTACTAACCCAGGGCACAACAGAGCTGTCAACAAAACATTTGTCTTCCACTTTTCACCTCGAAATGCTGAGGAATAAGTAAAAATCATTACTACAGCTTCAAACATAACACTTTTTATAAATATTTTACAGTATGACAGCAAGGAGTAGATCTAATATCGAGACATCAGCTCCAACTTGAATTAAATATAATGTCTGGTAATTCTGAATTTAATATACTGTACCATACGAAACATGCAATTATACTTACTCTTATACATTCTAGCAGATACGTAACCAGCAGGTGTTCCCAACAAAACCCACAGTACAACTGCACAGGTCATCAAAGCTCCTCGGTTGGCAGGAGAAAGAAAGCCAAGGCAAGCTAGAACTAAAGATGTAAAAAGAAAGACTAAGACATTTGTCAACATACACTATGTTTATAAAGTATAGCATATGCCACAACATACAGGTTTATCCATTTCACTGGCAGGGTATGCATACACACATATGCACGCAAACTGACTAGTTACAAGTGCACACATCTCTGGGCATAACTCTGAACCAAAAGCTTGTATATTTTCACCACATACTCAAAAGGCAAAGGTCCCTGTGGCTTAAAGACTTCAAGAAAGGCATACAGCTGAAGTCTTTGCTCCTCCAACACTATACCATGAAATTCCAGCTTGGAAAAATCAGCTTTCAAAAGCTTAAAGAAAGTATGATGATTCTGCAAGGCAGTACATTTATTGCATAGGCAATCAGAATTGTTTAATATCGGACATGAGAGTCATCCAAGAAAAGTAGGCCCAGAGTAATCAAAGGCAGTGATCTATGTTTAAAAAGGTAGTTATCAGAAGCATGAAGATAACAGGACTGAATCCTGAAGTAACTGATTCAGAAACTTCTAATTTCAGACAAAGGCTATCAGATCTACCATGACAGACAATGCTTATCCGCAGGAGCAAGGTGGACCATCTGGAAAATTAAATCTCTATTTTTTTAAAAGTAGGATCTTGAACAAACTGCAAGGACAACCTCAGAGATGAAAGGTAGTTCTTGAATTACACATTCTGCAACTAGTAGTATGTGAAACTGTAGTATTTGGAAACAGACTCCAAGAGCTGCCATGGATTTGGAAAGACCAATTTATGAAGACCTGAAGGCAAGTTACTATAATACTTACATGTAAACACATTAGGAACAGAGAAAAAGGATAGTGCACTATAACTCTGAAAAGCAATGCTCTGTGTGAAATCAATAAGGAGTCTGATTGCACTTTAAAGAGTAACATTTATTAGAATGTTAGAACATAAGCTTTTCAGAGCTACAACTCACTTGATGCTAAAGAGAAAAAGAAAAAAGAGGCTACAGAGATTGGACTTTTTCTGTCTTTCTTTTTCTCTTTAGCATCTGAGGAAGCGACTTGTATCTCACAAAAGCTTAAGCTCTAATATCCTAATAAATTTGTTAGTCTTTAAAGTGCCACTGGACTCCTTGTTTTTGCTGAAACAGACTAATTCAGCTACCCTCTGAAACCGACCTGTGTGAAACGTTTCTCAGCTACAAATGAAGTAAACTTAAATTAAAATTAATGGAGATTGCCTATCACCTAGAACTGGAAGGGACCCTGAAAGATCATTGAGTCCAGTCCCCTGCCTTCACAGCAGGACCAAGTACCATCCGTGACAAATTTTTGCCCCAAATCGCTACATGGCCTCCGCAAGGATTGAACTCACAACCCTGGGTCTAGGCAATATTACTGGAACATGATGAGTAAGTGTAGACTTCTAATATATTTTTAAAAAAATTTCAAAGCAGATATGGACTGAGACTTCTTTACTTTTATAGATTTAGATTGTGTGAATTAGCCCCTAAATAAGAGATGTTGCAATAATGATCACAACACTATTATTTCCACTCTATTCTGCACTGATTAGGCCTCAACTGGAGCACTGTATCCAGTTCTGGGCACCACATTTCAAGAAAGATGTGGAGAAATTAGAAAGGATCCAGAGAAGAGCAACAAACATGACTGAAGTGCAACAAACCTGATTAAACATGAGCTATGGAGGGAAGGATGAAGGAACTGGACTTGTTTAGTTTGGAAAAGACAGAGGGTACATGATAACGGTTTTCAGGTATATAAAGAGTGTCACAGGGAGGAGGGGGGAAATTGTTCTTCTTGGCCTCTGATGATAGGACAAGAAGCAATGGGATTAAACTGCAGCAAGGGAGGGTTTAGGTTGGACATTAGGAAAAAATGCCTAACTATTACAGTGGTTAAGCACTGGAATAAATTGCCTAGGGAGGTTGTGGAATCTCCATCATTGGAGATATTTAAGAGCAGGTTGGACAGACATCTATCAGGGATGATCTAGAATCAGTGCTTGGTCCCGCCCTGAGGGCAGAGGACCTGACTTGATGATCTCTCGAGGTCCCTTCCAGTTCTATGATTATATGATTCGCAATAGTGTTATTGCAGTGACTTGGGTCATTATTATATGCAAATGTATTTTTCCTTTCTAACGGAAGGACATTGACATCAATAAACAGCTATGCCAGAAATTATTTCACGCTTCTTATAACTACACTAACACAGTGTAAGTATGCAATTTTAATAAACCTAATGTTACTTACAAAGAGTAATAAAGGTCATAATGAAAATTTGCGTTCCTTGACCCAAAAAGACAGATAACAGCATTCCTTTCCTTGGAGGTCTAAATACATCTCCATGAACCAACTTCCAACCAAATTCTTCCTGTGCATCCTCCTATAAAACAGCAATATCTTTATCAAACATACATAATTCAGCAATGAATTAATATAAACAAGATGTGAAACATGCTTTCAAAGACTGGAACCAAACTGACAGTTAACCAAAATCAGATTAATTGTATGGATTCATCACTCATTGATTTTACAATCCTCTGGTTTATTAGAAGAAAAAGGCAAGATTTATCATGAAAATATAGAGTGAAAATATAGAGCCTTTGAGAGTGATAGATAAACAATGTAATTAGAATTGATACTCATAAGGTCAAGGTAAATGTAAAGCAAAACAAAGCATTCCATTTAATTGAACTTGGAATATAGCATTTCACTTTTGTTTAAATATTCAACTCTTTTGCTTGTTTCAAAGCAGGTCAGTCTCAGTAACAAATAATGAAGTTTATTTGCTTTATTTTGTATAAGCAAATTTGGGCTCCCTCTGCTCCAAATATCTTCCCTGCTAATTCCCAAGCTGAGACCATAGTGTTCTTCACCATGTTGCTGTTATGTTGTTAAATAATCTAATGTTGTCTGAATTTTAGGGAGGGAGTATTGGAGGAAATAAGTAGCATTTAACTCTGAGAAACAGGTGACTTCTAGCAAACTTAGCCCACACTAAAATACCTGTGTCCCATTCAGTCAAAAAGTGCAGGGATCCCTATACATCACCCAGTCTAACTGTAATCAGTAAATATTTCACTGGCGTGTTCAGTACCAAAATTAAACATTCAGAAAAGAGGAGAGGGAAGGGAAGGGAAGTGAAACTAGGTGACAACGCAGAGCAGCTCAGCTAGTAACAAAGACATCACTTCATTTCTTTGGGAACATTTTAATCATCTCCCGAGTGTGAGGAGCTTTGTATCTTCCTTGTTGATAAAATTGCAAGGTGGGGATATACTGGAAGTGGGATTTTTATTTTTTTAATGGGTTTAGAAAACAGTTTTACAGCAAGTGTCATGTCAGCAGGGAAACAGAAACCATAGATCCAGGGTTAGCAAACAGAACGTGATTATTAAAAACAATAGTCCTATGGAAGCTTAGAGACTAAACATGGTGAGCTTTCGTGGGGAAAACCCACTTCATCAGATGATTTTTGTGTGTGTAACATACAGAAGAAAATTGACCCAGGCTCTGAGTCTTGGGGTCACAGGTTTTATTATTACATAGGCAGATTTAGCCTAAGAGAAATACTGTAGACCTACACTACATACAAGATGGTTCAACTATTGTTTTCAGTGCAAATCCACTAAAATGGGAGTTACATCTGCTTATGCCAGAACTAACCCTGATCTCACCATCTAAATGAAACCAGTTAGATCACCATGGATTCAAATTTGATGTCCTTCTACAAACTCGGTATTTCAACCTGTAAAACCAGTAAGCTTGAAATATGCAATGTTTAGAACTTAAAATAGGAGTGGGCAACAAGACAGCGGCGGCTCATCAGGGTTATTCCCTGGTGGGCCAACTCTGCTATATTTACCTGCACCAGCAGACCATCAGCGGCTAACTCTGGCTAACCAGATCTGGCCCACTTGCCAGTGTTTGCCCACGGCTGCCTTAAAACAAAAAGGCTTACATCTACAACTGACCATTACTAGAAAACAATTCTCTAAATGACAGTTTTCTATCCATTAACCTCATGCTTTAGATTTAAGGTGTAGAAATCCTTTCACCATCCAGTGCACAAACCAAATACATTTGTTAATAAAATATTTCATTGAGATTACAAGAGGCTTCAGAGCGTGTGTTTATTTGCAATTTTTAAAAAGAACACTGTTAGATAAAATTCACTCCAAGTTGCTAAATTTAATCAGTTAGAGAAGCATAATGATTTTGGTTTTACCACTACAGGCAGTCCCTGGGTTACGTACAAAATAGGGACTGTAGGTTTGTTCTTAAGTTGAATTTGTATGTAAGTCGGAACTGGCGTCCAGATTCAGCCGCTGCTGAAACTGATCAGCGGCTGATTCCAGGAACCCCAGGGCAGAGCTGCTCTGCCCTGGGCTTCCTGGAATCAGCCGCTGATCAGTTTCAGCAGCGGCTGAATCTGGACGCCAGTTCCGACTTACATACAAATTCAACTTAAGAACAAACCTACAGTCCCTATTTTGTACGTAACCCAGGGACTGCCTGTAGTGGTAAAACCAAAATCATTATGCTTCTCTAACTGATTAAATTTAGCAACTTGGAGTGAATTTTATCTAACAGTGTTCTTTTTAAAAATTGCAAATAAACACACGCTCTGAAGCCTCTTGTAATCTCAATGAAATATTTTATTAACAAATGTATTTGGTTTGTGCACTGGATGGTGAAAGGATTTCTACACCTTAAATCTAAAGCATGAGGTTAATGGATAGAAAAGCGGGGGGGGGGGGGAAGGCGCACTAGCTGCGCCCGCCCTCCCCCCCCAGCAGACCAGGGAGACGCGGAGCAGCTTTTCTCGCCGCGGAGGATGCAGGCGGCGGGACCACGGCGCGTCTGGGCGGTCCCACCACCCGCGTCCTCCGTGGCGAGAAAAGCCCCGTTCGTATGTAGGGATCCGACATAAGTCGGATCCATGTAAGTCGGGGACTGCCTGTACAATGGATTCACGGAAACCTATATACTGCTTGTGTTTGTATCCATCACTTGATGTATTACAAATTTGCTAGTGTCCCTTACACGGCATCCAATTATGTGCAGTGGTACTTCATCTTAAATTTTAATGTATCTAAATAGTATCCACCTCACCTTTGCTTATTCTTAAAGTTCGTCTATCCACATTAAAAGTTTATCATACCAATGTGGGAAACTGAACCTCTCAATCATACCTACACCAAATACTCCCTTCTTTGCAGAAGCTGAAATTTTTGTAAGGCCATTTATTACTCTCAAAGAGCTAATATGTCTACATAAAGACTTTTGCTTTAGTACTTATTCTGACCCCCCAGATTGTGTTCAAAACTGTAATTAATATTTTTTTCTTTCTAGAAAATGAGATCTAAAACCCATAAGAGTTCTACTTACAGAAGAGTCAATCTGGTTGTATCTTGCAATATCTTTATGAAGAGTCCTCAATATGATCATAGCCACCATGCCAGATAAGAAGAGAACAATTACGAGGGAATTCATTATACTGTAGATGAAGAAAAATACAACGTTTCTATACACTTTTTCAGACTTCAATAGATGTACTGCAATAATCATAATATGTGCACATCTGAAGTCTGAAACATTAGCTATCAAGGTTGTGCGTAAGTTGCTCTACCAGCTATTTTAATTTTAATGTTTTCCTATACCGAAAAAATACCACACACAACTATGCAACAGGAAAGCTCCTGAAAAGCCATTCTACCAAAGAGCAGAGTAGGCTAGAGAATCTCAAGCCAAATGATTTTTGTCAAATAGATTCTATATGAAATACAATTCCATTGAACAAATCAATTACATATGAAATATCAGATTTCAAGTACAGTATATTATGCTATTTTAGCAGTATGCACACTACAGCATAGCATTTTTCTCTGTATTGTAAAAATTATATCTTAATCCATAAACAGCAGTTCTTTTGGTACATTCTTTAGCATTAAAAAACCTCACAGTTTTTGTATTTAAAAGCAGCAGCTAATATTAAAAACAAAGCTTGTACAGATAACCTTTACTTGGTAATCAAAGCAAGCTAGAAGGTCATGGTAAGAAAACTGATGGGCAGTGACTTTTCAAAAGTTCTACGGAACAAGGTGATAAAGCAAACTCCATGCTTTTTCTTTGTCTTTGAATTATAATGGCACATTCCTTTGGTGAAATACCATACTATAGTTGCTCCCAAGAGATCCAAAACTGATAAAAGTTACTTCATATATTGAAACAAGGACGTTCATTTGCTTGGGAACTAACAGACTTCATTTTACATGTAAGACTTATATTTCCTGAAAGCTGTACTTCGCTAGAAGATTATTCTCTCCATAAATTAAAAATTTTACCTAAACCACTGAATGTTGGTATGTGGCATAGACTCCAAAATGTAGTCCCATCTGGAAGCCCACTTGACATCATTTTCCTACAGACAAGATGAAACAAAATGATTAAACAAATGGCCTTGAAGGAGTAAAGGTTCTAATGTCATTTACTAAAGTTAGTGAATATGAATAACCTACTTGAATCCAAAATTCAATTTAGATACAGGGTTTTTCCCTTTAATCTCTTCTATTTAATGCTATATTCTATGGCTTTGTGCTTCTCTGTAACTTACTGTATAATGCCCACTGCCTGCAATTTTTGTATTACCTAATGTAGTGTTTTAGGGCACAATTTATATTGTGCAATGTTTTTCAGAGTAAAAATTAATTTGGATGAAGAGGTGAATTCATCAATCTACTCCCTGGAGTTATCATCCCACAATTTGGCTGACAGATCACATGATTCATGGGATCAGATTTTCATAACTGAGTGTGCAATTTACTATGTTAGCATCCAATTGAAATGTGTATGAGCTGCATGCAAATATCAAGTGCACACGTGTATATTTGTAGACTTTCACAGGTCTGAAAGTCCAGCCCTTCAAAATGGGTCAAGATGTAAGTCTATCATGGTCTCATTACCAAAAGACAGTCGATTTCTTTCCCTTCAGCATGCAGACAACAAGATTAGATTGACAAAACAGTGGCTAAACTCAAAAATTTCAGGCACAATAAACAGTAATGAACTTTAAGTCAGTTTCTTAACCAGTCATAAATAAAGACACTATTGGCTTTTTACTGGGTTAATTTAAATTTTCCAAAATTAACAGCCTTTTTTTCCCTTCAAAAAATGCATTCTAACTATACCTAAAGTAAAGCTTAAGACAACAAACTGCAGGTAGTTAATTTTAAGTGTACTGGATATTTAAGATGTAAATAGTGACATCTGCTGGAAATGTCTGAACTGGCAGGAATTAGCTGAGGATTTTGTACTTTACTGAGCAAAGTTGACATTACAATTACAATTTGTGTTCCAGTCTATTAATGTGTTTAAGTCAAAAGGTTCATCAGTGTAGTAAAAAATCAGCAAGTCTAAGCATGATTAGATAGTTCAAGGGAAAGGAGCAAAGCTCTGTATTCTATTATCTCAAGGTCTCAGGGTCAAATCAATTTCAGATGGGTGGAGAGTGAAAGCTATTATCATGAGACAACGGTATAGCTGCCTCCATACAATGAACTAATGCTCTCAGTCCAATTCCTAGTGGACAGGTGTCTTGCATCATAAAAACAAATAATAACTGACCACTTTTTAGGACAGGCTGAACAGAGGCTCCAGTTTTTGAAGCAACAAGAAAACTGACCCATCCTCACACCCATGAGAGGTTACTTTTCAGATCAAAATAAAAGCACATTCACAGCTACTTACTACCTCAGATATATAGGTGAAATAAAGACCGTTTTCAAAACCACCTAACAAGTAGTAAATTTAATGCTTGCAAGTGTCTGGATAAAATTATAACTAAGGCACTTTCAAATCAGATGGAGAACAAGAACTAAAAAAAAATGCTCACTATAAACTAATTCATTAAAACTAGGAAAATTATAAAATAAAAGCCTCCAAGAAATGTTATATACAAATATATTCTCTCCAATATGAGGCTTGCTTAAATCATTGATCTATTGTGAATAGTGACTGTGTAGAAGAGTTACATGAATCAATAACTCTGATCCCTGAGTTTAGAGCCGGATTTGTCAACTTCAATGCCAGATCTAAATTTTACTTAATTGTATCCTTGTTAACTGTGAAGAGCCAATAAAGCTACTGAAGAGTTATCTGTTTTCCATAACCTTCTTACCTATCAACAAGACAGGTAAAGTTCCAGCTGCGGATTAAAATTTGAGAACAGCTGGATTGCTCTGGTGTAACTGAAAGAATAACTTAACCTGTAATATTTTAATTACTTATAATGCACAACAAAAGAAAAACCCTGCTTAGCTTTCAAACTCAGGGCTGGTAGCCCTCTTTTTGTTTCTGGAAGTCACTTTTCACAGTGCTCTCTAACTGCATTCTGAACTTTGAGACTGGCTGTTTAATATTTTTAACTACAAAACAGTTTACATTCCTAAATTGTTCCTCAGACACTTTAATACAATAATTCCTCATTTAACACATGCCCGCTTAACACGTTTTCGCTATAGCATGATTTTTTTTTTTTAGGGAATGTTTTTTGGATTACATGACCGTCCCCGGAATAACACGATTTCCCCAACTGGCCCGTTGCTGGCAGCTGTGAGGGGCTTCCCCTGCCTCCCTGCAAAGCGGTGGAAGGTTCACTGCACCGTTCCGCAGCGACCCCTCCTTGCCGGACAAAGTGCGGGTCCCGGCAGACCCATCACAGGGGCATACTCCCTACCCAATCCGCCTCTCCTCCCCTCCCCCAGAACCAAACACTTCCCCTCCCTGCTGTAACCCAGTCCCCCTTTCTCCTCCAACCTTATGTCCTGGTCCCAACAGACACCACCGCTTGAAACGCAACCCCCACCTTTTCCATTACTTTCAATGGGAAAATTGACCCCACAACACATTTTCACAAGGAATTACTGTATTCATAAAACTGAACTAAAACAGTGGAAACAATTATACTCAACAAACTGTCAGAAAGAACCTGGATCCAAACAATTTAGGAGATGTGTTACCAAAATAAATACATTTTTATATATATACACACATACATTCATACACACACACACACACACACACACACACACACACACACACACACACACACACACACACACACACACACACACACACTTACTTGAAATTTCACAGAATAAGTGTAGATCAAATCCAGTTTGTCTGTGAATTTACCAGGTATCTCCATAGGGGGACCTCCACAATTTAAATGGTTTTTATCTGTATGTTTGTAACTAGCAAGACAGAAATTTTAAATAAGGTTCATAACTGCTGGATTGGGTAGAGAACATCACAATTATTTAAAAGTAATTAAGACTAATATGTGAAATATTTGGCTACCTAACTTTCTGTATCTTTTCCCACCAATTTCAAATTTATTGAGAACAAAGCTTTCTGTTCCCCACAGATTTCACCTTTGAACATGTGAAAGGTTTGTTTTAAAGCTTTAGAAAATTAGAGTAAACATGGTTCAGCCATTTCTGATTAGGAAGGGAATAAGAAAGCACATCTCCTCATTATTCAACATTCTTGCTACAGCACTATAGCCAAAACTGATGTGAAGAAAAAGCTGAAATAAACTAGAGAAAATACCTTCATTGAATAGTGGTCTTTGAGAGTTCTAAGAAGTCAGTTTTATTACCACTAAACATAATAATGGCCATAAAAGATCAGAACAATGGTTCATCTAGCCTACTATCCTGTCTTCGAACAACGGCCAATGCCAGAGACTTCAAAGAAAATGAACAGAACAGGAAAATCATCAAGTGATCTTTATCATCCAGTCCCATGATCTGGCAAGTCAGAGGCTTAGGGACAACAAAACCATGAGGTTGCATCCCAGACCATCTTGGATAATAGCTACTGATGGACCTAACCTCCATGAACTTACCTACACTCTTTTTTGGAGACAGTTATAGTTTTGACTTTCCAAAACATCCCAAAGCAAGGAGTTCCACAGAGTGACTGTGTGTTGTATGACTTTTGTTTTAAACCAGCTGCCTATTAATTTAATTGCATACCCCAGGTCTTGAGTTCCACGAAGGGGTAAATAACACTTCCTTATACACTGTCTCCACACCATTGATTTTTACTTTCAAAAAAGTGAAGTCAAGAAGATACATCAATTTATTGTGCTTAATAATAATCTACAAACCACAGAGAGTTTCTTTAGAAAGACTGAAATTGGCTTAGTAATTTCTAGTTTCGCTAAGCATGGCAGAAGACACCGCAGTGTATTAAAATGACAAGTACTTGTACTTACCTTTTTGGATCCAGTTTTGCCATTACCAGTCTTGCTCCAGGCCAGCTTTCATCTTTCCCACTATGGTACATGATTGTAATGTCAACATGGTTGAAGAGGTAGAAAGTGTCCCTCTTGTGAAACTGAGACTGCAAAATATTACATGTTTGAACAATTCTTCCAGGAGACAGGTAATGCTACCATCAAAAGGACTTGTCTTCACTACATGGTAGATTGATGCTGCAGCAACAGATCCACCAGAGGTCAATTTTTCACATCTACTTAGATGCGATAAATCGACCTCTGAGCACTCTCCCATCAACTCCAATACTGCACCAAATGAGACGAGTAGCCGGAGTCGAAAAGAGAGCAGCCCCCACCAACCTTACTGCATGTAAGACAGTACAGCACGTACACTGATTCAGCTACACTTTTTCTGTAGCTGAAGTTGCATAGGTTAGATTGACCTGGGCGTGAGGGGAGGGAGGGCAATGTAGTGTAGACTATACCAAAGACCCAAGCAATCCAAAATAAAGGAATACTGGGGAGAGGGGAAATACTCCTCATTCCTTGACCTCTTGTATTTGTATATTCTCAAAACCAACATTGAAAGGATAACAAATCTACCAACACACAAAAAATAAAGGTAAAGAATAAATCTTGCATTCCACAAAATGCAAATGTCTAAATCAGCCTTGATAGGTCATCATAAGAAGCTCCAGTATAGATACAAAAAAGTCTACTCGCTTTTTATCATCTCTATGTAAACCACTTTATTAACCCTTGTGGCTAGAGCAGAAGTCCCCAAACTATGGGGTTTGCTCCCTAGGGGAGGGACACAGGAATTTCGTGGGAGGGGGAAAACAATGGGGCCCATGCCAGCCCCCATAAGGGATGGGGAGGGAATGCCATCCAACCCCTTTCCCCATTCCCACTCTGATCCCATCCGCAGCCACATCCAGCTACTTCCCAGGCTTCCAGCCCCACTCTGGGCCCCATCTTCAGCTTTGGCAGAGCTCCGCACCTTGCCACAGGTCTAGCTGTTGGTTTCCACCCCAGTGTGGCTACAGCTCCAATCCTGTCCCTAGCCTCTGTCCCTAGACCCACCCTCAGCTGTGATTCTAGCCTCAGCCCCCCAAGCCTGAACCACAGCCCTACTCCCAGCCCCGGAGTGGTGCAGACAGGAGTCAGAACGAATCACAACCCTGAAAAGTTTGGGAACCACTGGACTAGAACCCAGAGATGTGAGTCTGCTACTGTTTCTGAGCTAACACTTGTGGTTCTTTAGCTGAACAGTAGCAGCTCATTATTTTAGATCTAGGATTGAATTCCCTCAAATGACCAATCCAGAGGTGATGTTAAGTTTACACTAGCAAACTTTCTGACCATAAGTCACTGTTGATGCACTTCCACTGGCAATAGCAATGATGGAAGCTGCAGTGCATATCAAAACAGCTAATTTTGTGGCCATAGTTAGCCTTCAGTAATAACAACTGAGTTTATGTTTTTTAAAAACCCATACAGAGTAGGGATGTAAAGTTCCATTTAATTGGTTAACGGACTAAAGGAGGGAAGGGGAGGGGGAGAGGGCCACTCCAGCCTAGCTAAGAGCAGCCCACCCCACTGCAGGCAGGGGCTGCACTGGCTGGCCTGCTCCAGTCCCTCCCTGTGGCGGGAAAAAGCACCCCGCAGGAAGCAGGGGAATCTGCTAGAGCTTCCACCGTTAACCTTAGCCGGTAAGCCTCACCCATTGGGGGTGAGGCTTACTGGTTAACTGGTTAAACATTCACATCCCTAATACTGAGCCCTCTATTCTATAGCTTCCCTCCCATTATTTCTATTGCTCCTGAAGTTGCAATGGTGATAAACGACAGCAGTGAACTCTACATAGCTAAGGGTACATCTAGACTGCAGTGCTATTTCAGGATACCACAACTATCCTGAAATAGCAACGCTGCGCCTTTAAATGCACTCGCTAGTTCCCAAAATATAGTGGGCGCACTATTCCGACATCCTTGTAACTCTCGTTCTACGTTCTACACAGCGTCAAATTTCAAAATAAGCTCTTTCGACCTAGACTTGGAATAAGCTACGCAATTTACATAGTGCAAATTGAATAGCTTATTCCAACAGAAAGGTGCTGTCTAGACACACCCATATATGTCTGACTGAACCTCTCTCTCTCCTATCCCACAATTTTTTCCCAAAAGAGGTTTGTTTGCTAATAGCTAATCCTACAAAGTGTCAGTGAAAACAGTTAGCATCAGTTTCAAAATGCCATCAGAAAACACTTCAACCTCACTCCAATCCCCTGCCCAGCATTTCAATTATATTTTTCTTCCGAATGATGGGGTTTGCACTCAGAAATATTACAGTTTTCAGATAAAAATGCCCTCTTTCCCGCAAACTTTGCTGCACAGCTTTATCTGTCTTTGTCTTGAAAAAACTTGGATCAGGATTCTTCCAGGATTCCAAACAAAGTAACATTGGGGAGTAGGCACAACTGATGGGTGTTCTGCAGGGTGTACTCCAGGTGGCAGAGAAGTGTGACCCTAGGGATTACTGGACTGGAGAACCAAAGATCTACTTCAAGATGCAGAATACTGCTGTGACGGAAGATCACTATACTGCTACAGAGACTCCAAGACAGACCAACAAGCCCACCGCGCCCTTGCCGGCTCTGCAGAAATTTTTAGCCACTGCTCTTGCATCTGCTTGCCCATCAAACAAACCAGTGGGAATTGACTTCTGAGAAACCCCTCAGCACTTCCAGAATGACAAAGAGGAGCAGAAAAATCAGCACTTGGCTGAAGAATACCCCCAGAGATGCTGCTGCAGGAAGATCTTGAGCCTCAAGGACGGCCCTTCAGGATCTCAGAGCCAGAAGAAACATCTCGCCTGCTCTTCAAGAGAAGGCTGAGCTGAGGGGAGCCTCTTCCATGGTCCAGGACCCTGATGCTGCATGTCGCCTTGCTGGACCCAAATGCTGCTCTGAACAAGGCTGCACCAAGGGGAGCCTCTTCCACAGCCTAGGACCCATGTCGCCCTGCTACTTGGAAGAAAGCTGCCCGGGAACCTGCGCCACAACCTGGGATCACCAAAAAACCCACACCAGATCCTGCTGTGGGGAGGATCAATGCACTATTGCAAGGTAATTACATCACTAGATGGCTCAGCAACCTCATACAGACCATCCAGCACAACACCAAGATGAGATGCATCAGTGTCCCGCCCTCTCCTCCCCATATGTAATCTCATGCTGCCCTGCAATTGGAGCAGCCGGCACCTGCCTCACAGGCCATTCAGCAAGGCCCAGCTGATGGAGGAGCCACCCGCAGCCCCAGATCCCACAGTAGGATCTCGCCCCTGGGAGATCCAGTACTATCTCCAAGGTCACTCAGCAAGTTCCTGACCACAGAAGTTCTTGTGCTCCACCAAAGACCCCCCTACAGCTGGAAACAGTTCACAAGAGAATCAGCACCAGCCCCAGAATTTCCAAGCATGACTACATCCCTACAAAATCCAGCACCGATGCTTCCAGCACCTCCTTCCCTCCTGAAAGAGGCAGAAACACCAAGAGAATTCCCTTCATCTCACCAGGGATCCCCCTCAAGATCTGCCTGCACACTGCTCTCATCTTCAGGAGGTAATAAGGCAGCAGGTTATAAACTTAGAAGCTTCTCAGCCCAAGTCTGTGGAGATGGGGCAGCCGGAGGAACAGTAGCCAGGGGTGGGGGCCACCACACAGTGGCAAACGGCTTGGATGGAAGAGCTAGTGAAGACAGATAATGGTAACACCCTTATGGACAGCTGGCTGTGGAACTGTCTGCAGAAATTGCATCCAGGAGGAAGGACTCCCAGGAGGACACGCAGACCGCTTGCAGATTCCCCACGCCAAGCCATAACAACACTGCCAGAAAAGGCAAGAAAAGGAATGCCAGCCGCCACTATAAACCAGCAGCTGCATCCCATAGCCAGAAACTCTACAAGATGAACTGCCAGGAAGGAATGAGACAAATCCTCGACAGGCCCTCACCTAGGCTACGGCTACACTGCCTTTTTTTGCGGAAGAGGGATATGCAAATCGTGCTCATATCTGCATATCTTCCACAAAAAGAATCAGAAGAGGATATGCAAATATGAGCCCAATTTGCATATCCTCTTCCACAAAAACAGCCCTGTAGCCATATATCTATTGTGTGATCCCAACTGAGTGGCTCTTCTCTTACTTCAAGGATGCGTTCGACCATGAGGCCCGGAAAGACATACAGCATCCGAAGTGCTCTCCCCCACTGCCACTGATCAGTTACTTAGAGGACCTGGAACAGAACTTGACTCCGCAGTGTCGTGTAGCAGGTCCTTTTGACCACGGCCTCACGCGTATTGCCCACACTGCCACACTAAAGCCCCTCACAAGAAAAACACAGGCCGCTGAGCTGGATCCAGAGACAGAGCTTGAAGTCCCTCGGGGGCCCAGCACAGTTCTCAGTAAACGGAACTTAACTTGGCAAGCACCTGGGCCAAAAAGGTAAGAGCAGGGACATAACTTTAGTATATGGGACAGCTTAACGAGCACTAAAAAAAAAAAAAAAGGTCAAGATAGGAATAAGATAAATGAGCTGTCATATACATCAGTTAACAAGCACCTGGAGCAGGGAAACAAAAAACATAGCTAGCTTTGACACGTGCCAGTCATGTCTGCATCAGGCACTGACCACAATGCCCTAAGGCAGATGTCATGTCACAAGGAAGGAACCCTAATATGGTACCGGAAATCAAATAACCCTAATCTGGTACTGGTTGTCAAAATTATAGTATAAAGCACCCTGAGCCCTAAGGTCGGGGAGGTTCCGTATCAAAATAGAAGGCACGTACTGTCCAGCCTGGCTGTGAGGTTGATCACCGAAGGCCGCCTCCCACCCACTGAATCACGAAAGGGTGTACGAATCCGGAGCATGATAGGCATTGTTTTTTGTCTGTGTATCGTAATTGTCACTGGGTTTGTAAGTATTGCAGAGTATTACTCCATGAGGAGTAACGGTAGCTCGGAATAGGAAGCCTAATCCGAACTACCTAGTTCGAGCCGCGTGTAGCCGCGGGCATGGAGTCCGAACTAGCGGACATTTAAAAATGGCGGCGCCTGGCAACATGCAAATGAAGCCCGGGAAATTCAAATCCCGGGCTTCATTTGCAACTCCGGTTGCCTACATTAACCACCCTAGTTCGAACTAGGGTGGTAGTGTAGAC